AATAGTTAATAAAAGAAAGCAAAAAAGATTAAAATTAAATTAAATGAATATAACAAAATAAATATACAAAAGTTTAACTAAAAAATAAAATAGGCAAAAATAAGTTAAAGCAAGATAAAATAAAATAAATTTAAATAAAAATAAACTAAATTAGATTAATAAAAATTTAAATAAAATATTAAACAAAAATGAAATAATTTGAACGAAATAAAATAAAAACTTTTATGAATTCAAATAAAATAATCGATATAAAATTAAGAAAATAGAATAAAAGCAAATAAAATAAATTTAAGAAACTTAAATAAAAAATATAATGAAGGAAAAAAAACAAAAACAAATGTATTAAGGAAACCTAAAATGAAATAAATTAATATAAAAAAAATTAAAAATAAATATAAAATAATAAAAAATAGAATTAGATGAAATGAAATAAACCAACTAAATTAAATTGAAACTTTACAACTTAAAATTTAAATAAAATGAAATAAAAATATATAAAAAAATTATTAAATAAAAAAACATATTTTTATAAAAAAAATTAAATTCAAATAAATTTAGATATAGAAACATTAGAAAAGAAATTAATTAGAAATAGATTAAATTAACAAAATGAAATAAAATAATTTAGGGTATAATAAAACAAATAAACTATAGCAAAATAAGTTTAATAAATTAAAGTTAATGTGCATGAAATAAATTAAAATAAAAAATAAGTGAAGCCAAATTAAATAATAATAACTGAACTTTCATAAAATGTAGATACTATAAAATATAAAAAATTAAAGAAAAAAAATTATATAGAGGAAAATAAAATAAAAGTAAGCAAAAAAGTAAATAAAGTTCAGCTGGGGTTCAACTCGCCACCCGCACACCAGCTAGCTGTCAATTAACAACCGCCACACTTGCAACGACATACAAATAATGCGGCTAAAAAGGCATAAAGTTGCGGCGGCAGCAACAACAACAAAAGTAAAGCGGAGAAAAACTTATGAGTTGCCAAACACAGATGGTGAATGGCATAATTTGAAAAAATAAAAACAAAAGCCCAAGCACATATGTCGCATGCAACTACAGTTGCCAACAACTACGACGTGTTGCCGACTTGGCGGTGAAAGATATTTTGTTGTTATTGCATGTAGTATTCGAGAGGAGCGCATAACAAATTGCCACAATGCCCGCTACCAACAACCGCTAGCTGCCAAGTAGCGTGCAATGTGTAAATTTATATACTCATGTATTTGTGTGATGTGTGTGTGTGTGTGTGTGTGTGTGATGACACACATTCGACACAGATGACAACCATATTCGTTTTGTGAGTTTTATTAAAAAATTATGATTGCCATTCATTGTGGTTGGTTTGTCTTCATTACTGCTCATGTCGTTGTTGTTATTGTTGTTGTTGTTATTGCTGCTGTTTTTGAAATGCATTCCAGTTTTATTACATCGGTCACATTATACCATATTATTTATGTAAACGATGAGGCTATACTCTAAGTAAGACAAAGTGTGCTTTAAGATATTTCACGGATCAAGTGTTGGGTTATTTAGAATGATCGTTTATTTTCGCGTGATTAACGGTGGATTATGATGATATGTAATGATGTGGTGATGAAATTAAGAGTGTGTGCATTTTTGTGCAAAGGACACTTTAATGATCGGGCATTCATGCACATGACTGATGGTGGCGCATGGCTCGTCTGTTAAGTCAGGATCCGTAGGTTCGATCCCTGCCAGAAGAAGTTTGATGAGGAGATGTGGTGATTTCAGAAACAGCTGTCGCTTATACCATTTTTCATTGATGTGTAATAAAAAAAACAAAATATAAAATATTTAATTCTAAAAATTTATACAAAATTGAATAGTAGAGGCCGCAAAAAGCTAATATAAAATTAATTATTAATTAATTACATTATAAATTAATATTAATCTAATTTAATTTTTTATTTAAATTAGTTTGATTTAATTTACGTTATTATTATATATTTATAAATTAAATTAACTTGATTTAGTTCCATACAATTGAATTGAATATTGAAATTTTTCTTTGAATTAGGCTCCAATTAAAAAAATTAATTTAATGAACTTTAACTTCATATTATTAAGAAATTATATTATATTATATTTAAGTTTATTTATTGATTTGTATTTATTTAAATTATTTTAACTTTCAATTTACATTTATATTTCAATTTAACTAGATTTTATTTAAGCCAATCAATTTTTAAACCAATTTAATTGCTGAGCCTTTTTTGATTTATTTTAGTTGATTTATATCTATTTATTATTTTTTATTTGTATATTTATTTTACTTTAAATTAATGTAATTTACTTTGCATGATTTTTGTTCGAATAATTCAATTTAGTTTAATCTTAATAGATTTAACTTAAATTATTTTATTTTAAATAGAGTACATTTAATATGTGATAATTCAATTCAATTTAGTTTATATTAATTTGATATAATGAAATTTAATTTTAAAATGAACTTTATTTGTTTAATCTTACTTTAGTTTAATTGTGGTAACTTTAATTTAATTTATCTTAATTACATTAATTAAAATTGTTTAGATTAATTAAAAATGATTTGATTAATTCAAATAAAATTAATTAAATTATTATTAGTTCCATTTTGCTTTATTAAAAAACTTATTAAACTTATTTCAATATGATTTAATTTATTTATAATTAAATTTAACTCAAATTTATCTAAATTCATTCGACTAGATAAATTTGATTTATTTTGATTTAATTTTAATCTACATTCATTTTATATCAATTTACTCCCTTTCGGTGTAATTCATTTAATTTATTAAATTTGGTTTAATATAATTTAAATTAATTTGAATTAATTTCAGTTCAATTTAATTTCATTAGTTTTTACATTAGTTTAGTTATCCGTTTAATTGAACTCAACTAAATTTAATTTATTAAACGTGATTCGATTCTATTTCATTGAAATTTATTTTAATCCTATTTGATTTGGTTAGTTAATTTTAATTTAGATGCTCTTTCAGGTCGTTATTCTGTTGAATTGTTTTTGGGTTTTATGGTTTGATGGCCATATATGTATTTTTGGGAAATAGTGAAAAAGTTACAACAGCAGTTTTAGATCGTGAATATGTAGGCAGGTATGAGGGACAAAAGTAAAAAACAGCAACAAGTGAACGCGGCACACATGTAGCTTAATGGGATAACCATTGGCTTGTGCTGTGGGCATCCCAAGTTTGAATCCAATTCGAACGTGGTGGTCTCCCATTATGATTTAATTTCATTTGATTTCAATTTGACTTAATTTTATATTTATAAATACATTTCGAATCAAATTTTAGTTAAGCTTTAAATTTAGTTTAATTTAACTTAACTTAATTTAGTTTATTTTCTAGTTTTACTTGTTTAATATAAATTGCCTAACTTTCATTAAATTTAATTTTTTTATTTTTTTATTTAATTTTATTTTTTTATAATTTAATTTATTTTATATTAATTTAAATTAGTTCCAAATTGATATACTTTTATTTTATAACTTAATTAAATTAACTTAGTTCAATTTAATTTAAAGTAATTCAATTGAAGTTAAGTAAAGTCAAGTGATGCCAAGAAGTCATTCTCGCCTAATTTGACCCAGATTCGTGCCTTTTTATTGTCTTTTAAACAGACAAAAGTGATTTTTATGAACTTTACACTCAAAAACATTTCAAATTTTTCGACTTTAATGATTTTTTTTTGCTAACAAAGTGCTCTCAACAGTTCGCGTTCTACTTTTGCCTGCGCACTAATGACACCAATGTGGGTGAGTATACACTCCAATGGGCAGGCGACCAGAGGAAAAGGATGCGCGACAGTCAATAACATAAAAGTAATAACACATCCACTTCCACTCCATTAAAAAATGTGTCCCATGGCATGCCATTAGCCCACTTATTTACAAATTGCAGGCAACGATTTTATTACTTTTATATACATACATACGTGTATTAGAGTACGTATGTAGATGAGCATGCATTTATGCGAGTAAATATGTAATAAAATCAGAGCAAGTTTATGTAGTTGGAGATTTTTCCAAAACACACATTAGTGTGATTTTATGAGTGTCATGAGTGTTATGCTAGTGCAAAGGAGTGAAGGAGATTGTCAAGAGAAATTGGAATGCATGCGCAGGCAGAAGTACACTTCAGTTCAAGCAAAGTAGGTGTGGCAGGTGGGAAGTTGGAGTGCTATAGAAATTGCCACTTGAATGCATATGCTTTGAGTAACACTTTTCCAGGTGTGTCTCAATCATAAACAGACACCTTAGGGCCATAATTCAGCGTTGAGTGGGTTGAAGAAAATGTACATATGAAACTACATACATATGTGCATAACATACATATGTACAAAGTAGCATTGCATTTGCAAGTAACTACAATAAAAGTGATCCCGTCAGCTGTTTACTGAGAGCGAAAATGACTGCAGCTACTGAACTAAGATTTATGGGCAAATCGCCTTGTGGTTTTCAGTTTTTACATCGTTCACGATTTTTGAGGATTTTCAGAATTTATTTATTGCAAAACTGAAATTTTAGCTTGAAAATTCAACAATTTAACACATACAAAATTTGAAATTTATTACATTTAGAATGTTGACGGTAAAAATTCGCAGATTGAAAAATTTAGGTATACGGTTCACGTGTATGGTTTGTTCGAAAACAAGATTTTGCGTTGTAACTGCGCCGTTTAAAGAGCTAATAGTACTATATGTATGAAGGTATGAAGCTTACTTAATTTAAATAAAATGCAGACAGCGACAATTAATAAAAAACGGTGCAGTAGAACACAAAGCACTCATATAACTTTGCGTTCAAAAATTAGATTTTGTATCAAAACTTCTTTTCAAGCCAATATTTTATGTCCAAAATGTAATTATAAGGTTAAATGAAGTTCGTTCTGTAAAAGTAGATAGTTTTGGCTAAGTTTTTATCGCTTTGAAATTTTTGTACTGTTATACCCCCGTATCTCACTTACCATTTGTTCGCCTTAAACTGTGACACCTCGGCGTAACGCCGACCCATTGGCACCTCTTGTGGGCTCAAGAGCGCATCGCAGGGTGGCAGACTCTGTGGCTCAGCTGGCACATCTTCTACCAACTCCTCCTCTTCGATCGCTTCCATCTCTTCGGTATTTACTTCCTCCGCATCGGAGCTGGTGCATTGATCACCACAAGTGCTGCTCTCATCTTTCACCATAGCCTCATTGACATAATTATGTAATTTTTCACGCAACGAATAATCATCGATGGAGGATGAGGCATTCGATAAACAATTTTTGCGATCACCTTCATCGAGATCATCAATCAAATTGCCATTCTCTTCAAGATCATTATAATCATCAATGGCGACATCATCGCCCGAAGAAGAAGTGCTGGTATCAGTGCTGCTGGTGCGCGTAGAACGTGACACGCAACTATCGACGCTTGCTATCGAGTGGCGATTACGTTTGTTATCGTTATCGAGCGGCTTCTTCGGATAATCGCTTTCATCATCCTCCTCAGTGCCACCATTGGAGTTAGTTGAGCTAATTGATGTCTCTAGCAGTTGCTTCTTCTCAACACTAATTGTTTCTGTGTTTTTGCTATCGGCTGAGTTGTTGCTATCGATTGTCTCATTGCTGTTATCGTCATTGTTATCGATAGTAGAGCTGGTAAGATTGTTATCGCGGTCGGCGTGCTCCTCAACTGGCTGTGGCACAATAATGAGGGATGTGCGTTTGCGCATTGTCTCGTCTTTGGCGTCCATGTTGTTCTTGAGCGTTTTATCGGATTTGGCCAAAACAATAACCTCCACCTTTGAGGCTTCATAGGCATTATTGTTGACTTGTATGCTGTTGTCGGTAGACATTTTGTGGCTATTTTTTGTTGTTGTTTGGTTGATTTTTATTGCACTGTTAACACTTTACACTTCATTTGACATTTTTGTTGCTTTTTTCCTAGAGTTTTCTTTTCAATTGTTCATTTGGCGATTCTTAGAAAATTTTTTAGTTAAGTCTATAACTATTAATGGAGAAAATTTAGTGTTGAGTTTGTAGTCGAAAATTTTGATGAACGGAAAATATCAAAAAAGTGTTCTTGAAGGACTCAAGTTTGGACGAAAATATCGCCCTTTGTGAAAAAAAATATTTATTTAATTATTTTTGTACATTAAAGAAAAATTACATTTTTCTATATATATAACAACAAAATAAAAAATATGTTGTTTTTATCTTTTTATTTATATTATTCTTTATTCTTATGTATTATTTTAAATAAGTATTAGAACTTGATAATTATAAATTTGGGTCTAAATTTAATATTTTAATATTTTATAAACAAAGGGTATATAATTTTGTTTGTTATTTGTAAATACATATATCTTAAATTTCTTTTTAGTTACTTTGTTGAATAACTGTTGTATATATTTTTAATTATTTAATTAAAAAATTTGCCTCGTGGAAACTCTCACTTAAAATAGAAATAATAAAACTGCGATTATGCCAACCATTTCATTCGCTTATTAAATTCAAACCATTTTATAAATAAATATGTTCTGAAAAAAAGTGGAAATAGTCTCCTTTGTTAGCTTAAGCCCTTCGAGGTATTTTGCAATTAATATTTGATATAAAGTAACTCTCTTTAGCGCTTGGTTAAAAGATTATACCCCATTTTTACTTTAAAAATCCTAATGAAAAAAATAATTAAGTTATTATGAGTATAAAAAACCTAAAATTATTTCTAGTTTTTAGTTAATTAATGGATTAAATTTATTTTTAGATTGACCAAATGTGTATATCAATATATTTTCAGAGAACAATGTTTAAAATAAAAACTTACAGGTTCGTTATATGATCACTCATGAGAACCCATAAAACGAGGCGCTAAAAATCTCAGAATGACAGTCGACATTTATATACTGTTTAAATCTAAGGTGACTAATAAAATATTCCTAAATGACTTTCGTTGAATTGAGAAAAGTGCTTTTCGCATTGGCGAACTGAATATTACTCTTTCGATTAATCTTGGATCGAAACCTACAAAAATATGTTTCATTTATGGGAAATGTTCGTATATAAATACACACCCGTTTCTGCAGATCGTTTCTAACCTAATAAAAAAAAAAACAGACCAACTCTTTGTGGCCTCATCATTACATTTCAATATTTTCCACAACTCCGTTCATTATTAGAAAAATCAAGATTTATCGTCAAGCAATTTATTGTGACCATTTAAGCCGATAATTGTTGGCAAAGAAATATGACCTAAAAATTGGTTCATTCGTGCCTTTATTTCGTTCTGAAAAAAATTGAAATCAACCCTCCACAAGTTTTGTCAAAAATAGACCCAATATTCACAGTAATGTCAACGCACCCCCCTATCTTACAAGGCACATTTTATTCTTATTCTTTTTCATGTAATCTTTGCAGGGGTGGAAGGTCCTTTCATTGTCGCGCAGGTTCATTAAAAATTTAAAAATAGCTGTCGAGCAGTGGAGAAAAGTGTGACGGAGGGACGGAGTAAACGTACGATTGTGAGTTCAATTGGGTCGAGAAATCCTTTGTCGCGTTTCTCTTTGATGAATTAACGGTGTCAAAATAATTGATTAAGGAAATTTGTAGTAAAAATAAAATGAAATAAAAATAAGTAAAAAATAATAATAAAATGGAACAAAATAAATTGAATATAAAAAAATTTATTAAATAAAATAGAACGGGGATATATAATAGAAACGGAAAATCAAAAAATACAAAATAATGACGAAAATTTAATATTTACCTAACATAGAACATTGACTAATGAAAAACGTACAAATTAATGAAAAAGTTATAACTAAAATAATGAAAATAAAAAAAGGAATTGAAAATAGATAAAAAAAGTCCAGACAAAAAAATTAAAATTAAAAAAAATTATATTAAGTTAAATAATACGAAAACATTGTAAAAATATTAAGCGGGTAGGACCATTACACGGTCGATAATTACACATTGAAAAAGATTTTTTTTCTACAAAGAAGGTATAATCCAATCATTATAAGACTTTGTACACTTTTTGAAATATAGATGAGGAATGTAAAAAATTTTTCAATATTGCAACATAAAAATTCCAAGTCACATAGGTTTACAGACAAGTCTAAGGTATAAAGAAGAAATGTCAGCAGTCTTTTTCGAGTATTTGTGGTTGCCAATTTTAAAAATGTAATTTAGAGAAAAACGCGTTTAATGTTTTGAAATCCTGCTATGCGCTCAAAAAGGCATTCTCGAAAAATAAAACATGTAATGGACTCGATCTTCGATCTGAAACTTTTTGGAGCGTATTCTACGAGAAATTTCCTAATTTTTTAGAGGAACAACAAAAATCTTTTTTTTGACCTTATAATTGCATCTACCCCCTCTAGAAAAATTAGATGAAAATCAAATACAAAACTTAATTGAATCCATTGATAAAATATTTTAAATTGTGCTGAAATCAATTAAAATAAGATTCAGTTGCAATAAAAAAAAATTAAACTTAAAAAGAAACTAAAAAACAGAACTGAAATGAACTATAAGAAAATAAATAAAATAAAAAATGCAATTAAATTAAATAAAAAATAACACGTTTAAAAATAAATGAACAAATTTTCAACTAAAATTAAAAATATGAAAGCATAAAATAAATAAATTTAAATTTAAAAAAAAAAAAAAAAAAAAAAAGAGCAAATAAACTTAATATAATTTAAAAAACGGCAATTTAAAAAATTGAACTAAATTGACAAAAAATTATTAGCTAAGTAAAGTAAAAAAAAGATTAAAGCTAAATTAAAATAAAATTAACAAAAATAAAAAAAATCTAATAAACTAAAATGAACTAACTGAAATTAAATAATATTTAATAATATAACAACAAAAAAATTAAATTAAAAATTAAATAAAATATTTCGAGCTGCGAAGGAGGACAATCTCTCATGCTTTTCCTTGCTTCATTGCAATCTGGCCTTTGCTGACGACTATTTCAACTTTATTCGCTTCGCTTACTTGTGTGTGTGTCTTTTGGTAGCTTAGTCAAATTGGTTGCGTTGACAAACTGAATTTAATTTACTGATTTCAAACAGTTTTGAATGATTTAATTTTGCGACAGGAAAAATGACGAGCGACTCGTGCCACTGAGCATAATTTCATTACATTGACGTCAAACGAGAGGCCGAGCATGAGTTGGTGACATTCACCCTCGCCAAAGCCAATGGATATACCCCAAAATATGATTTTGCAGCGTCCAGCAGCAGAGCGAAACTCGTGTAGTTAGAAGGTACACGTGCTAAAGCCATATTTTATGATTAAATTAGAAAATTGTAAAAGCAAAACACAGATCAAATATAATATACACATGTGTACATACATGCATAAATACTTATCCACTACTCATACTAAGCCATTCTCTAGCATAACCTTAAATAAAATACGCATATTTCATTGCCTTTTTTTTTTTAAACACTGCGGCGGCGGTGGCGACTCGCCCTCAACCCAGTTGACATGACAAATGAGGCTGCTGCGGCGTCAGAAGACCACGCTTGTAGTTGGCGTCACATGGCAACACATCGTCGTCGTCTCAATGGCAAATTTGACTGGTGTTTATGGAATTTGTAAAACAACGCATTTTTAATGGGGTTGTGTGCCTATTTCTCCCCTCCTACGAGGTATTTGTATACAGAAATTTAGGGTTGTTAGGCTTGGGCTGTGGTGCCACCTTGGAATGGGTGGGATAATATGCAGGCGATGGGCGGTTTGCTTACCGGAAAACAGAGAAGCAGTAACAGCGGTTGGAAATAAAGGAGACTCATTGCCGCAAAGGTGTGAGAAAAGAGGTTTGATATTTGCAAATGTTGTTGTATTTCAATGTAAATAAGCATATCTGCCACCACATGGCATCTTTTCGTTTTATTGTATGCATAATACAATAAATAAATTTACATTTCGCTTTGCGCTAGTATAAATCAGAATGCCAAGTCCGTCTTTGATGTCACTAACGCACTTCGTGAACACGCTGGAGTAATAAATAAATCATAAGTGAAATAAATTGTGACGGGGCCGAGATGATTTTAAAGCATATCACTCTGGGTTTCCCCATAATAGAAATTGGAAATGTGTCGACTTATGTTGGGATACTTCTTTGAAATGAAAGAAAATGATATCAATATATAGAATTGGCGCTTTGTAGCCCCGGAAGCGATTTTGGCCGAGCTCTTCTTTTAATTAATGGATTTGCATCCTCATTTCTTTTCTAACAAATGGAGGGATTTACAGTTTGTGCTAAGCCGCCCCCAAACAGCTGATGGTTTTTGTATGAGGAGATTTATTTCATGTCAGAAATACACTCGGAGGGGTTGACATTTACTGCCGAGGGGCGCCTGGGATTAAAAAATTTAGCTAAATTTTTATTTAAACTAATTTTCTATAACTTTTTCCGCGGCCACCATGTCCGCATATATGTATATAATACGATATAATCAAATGAGTCAAAAAAAAAACGTATTTATTGCGAAATAGGATAAAACGAAAATTAAGAAAAATGGATAAATTAAATAAAACAAAAAAAAAAAATAAATAAATGAAGCAAAATAAAACTAAGCAAAATAAAACAAAATAACATTAATTAAATATAATAAAAATAAGCAGAAAGAAAATTATATAAAACATAACAATATTAATTTGAAAAAAAAAAATAAAAAAAAAAATAATTTGTAAAATAAAATAAGGCAAATAGAATTATAAAAATTTATATAATAAATAGGAAAAAATTGATGTTAAATGAAATAAAATTTAAATAGAATAAATTCAAATAAAACATTATAAAATAAATTTTAAGAAGATTAAAACAAATAATATAAAGCAAAAGAAAATATTAAATTAATTATTTGATTTTTAATTAAACAAAATTAAATGAATTAATACAAAAAATAAATTGAATTAAAATTCTTTAAAGTGCATTATCATAAAAAATATATGTATATACATAAAAGACCTTTTTTTTTGCTTTCCAAAGTTTAAAAAACTTTGCTCTAAAAAATTAACT